CACTAATTTGCCAATGCTGGCCCTTCATACCAGCTCCCCTTGTCACTTGTGCAAGTAAGCAAGGTGCTGACCAAGTTCTTACATTCAGAAAGCTACTCCTGCTTTGATACCGGGACCAACTTTCAGAGCACATCATTACAGGGGGGAACCTCATTCCAGCTTCCTTTGCCCCCTACTCAGAGGGTAGTGACGCCTCAGCAGACGCATTGGGGAATGCTGGCCCTTCATACCAGCTCCCCTTGTCACTTGTGCAAGTAAGCAAGGTGCTGACCAAGTTCTTACATTCAGAAAGCTACTCCTGCTTTGATACCGGGACCAACTTTCAGAGCACATCATTACAGGGGGGAACCTCATTCCAGCTTCCTTTGCCCCCTACTCAGAGGGTAGTGACGCCTCAGCAGACGCATTGGGGATTCCCTATGACAGCTTCACCCCATCACTGTGCAGGGTGGGTTGGCTGGTCTATCTGTCACACTACTCCTCTTGTTGGAGGAACCACCTGGAGAGCTGTGTCCTCAGTTCATCTGTATCTGTGGTCTCAGATACGGACCAGGCCCATGCCGCAGTGTCACCTTTAACATCTTGCACTGGGGAGTGGATTTGACCTTCTGGGCCAAATCTTTACTCCTTTAAAATTAATGTTAAAACTTCTATTAACCATAACTGGAACAATTTAGCAAGTTAAAGCTTCCTCCTGCTTCTTCTCTCCTCTCCCCCCCCCGGGGCAGGACCAGATGAGGGCAGGATCCAGGGGGCCGAAGGAGATGCTGTATGGCCTGGTCAGTCTACTACTGCGTAGCCTATCAAGTTACTTTCCTATCATGCTAATAATATGTTTGTGTTAATTTAGATTTGGTAATAGTTAAAAACTCTAATTCAAGAAATCTTCTAAAAGCTGCCCTCAGCATTCCCGTAGGCCCTTTGTGTTAGCCTGACTGATGTCTTGGTGCAGGTGTAATACACTAGGCCTTATGTCTGCCCAAGTTTGTAAAGGCCGCTAATACTAACAGCAGCATTCAACTCCTTGGGGGAGGGCTTTGCCATTAACCCACCTGGGTACGGTACAGCCCAGCCCTAGGCTGCATGGTGAGTCAGATTTCCCTGCAGTGCAGTGGCTCCTGCTCCAGAGTATAACAAGATGGTCCAGCCTCTGAATGCACTTTCCAAAGAGTGCCATGTCTGCATTACAATCAATTAGAGGAGAGGCTTGCACTTGAATGAGAGAACAGACAAACTCACAGTCCAGATCAAGTAACATGGGGTTATATTTTATCTTTTGTCCACGCTGCAACAGGCTGTTTGCAAGATCAGCAGGAGCTGAGGTTTGCAGACTTCCGTGGTTGAGAGACAGTCTCACCCCGATACCGGTCATAACTTAGTTATGGTGTCCCGGGCCTGAAAAAGGGGAACTTAGGTCTGGACCTCTCACCCACACAGGATGGTGGGAACAAGACCCTCAGACTCAGCAGATGTATTACTAAATATAAGTCCCAAAAAAATGGGTTCAGGCTGAGTTGAGCAATCAGGGGACAGGTTGCGATAGATAACCACAAAGGCCCACGGCAACAAACTGATAATAAGTTAAGAGCAATGATACATTGACCAATAGGAAAAGAACACTTCAGCATTAGAAACACCCCCTATTGAATATGCATAAAACATGTTAGCGTCAGTGTCACTTGGTATAAAGGTGGGACCCCAGCCCAGCAGCAATAGGGAGGAGAAGATGTCGTCCTTGGAAGAGTCAGAACTATGGCCCCTGGTGATGATGGGGAAGGTGAAGGTAATGAGAAAGATGATGGGCTAACACCTAAGATTGTTCTAGAAGGAATGATGTAAGTATATGGTAAGGAAATATGAATGTACGTGTACATTCCCTGTCTTATGAAATTGAGGTGTTTGTGACTATGCCAACCTTATTAATAAACTGTAAATATTGTAACTACACAAGAGTTTCTATATTGTGAGTATTGCAATTGTGCACATCAGGGTTCCCAATCACAGTATAACTGAATATTGGGCCTGATCTTGGGACAGAGAACCTGTTAACCCTAAAGGTGGGTAATTCGAATTTAAACACTCTTAGATCATGCTACAGCTGTTAGTAGATCTTCTGCCTTCTTCCATCACAAAGATCCAAGGAGCTATTTTAGCTATTGGACTGAACTAGCCTTTACAAAACAGCTCCCTGGTTATTCATTATGCTCCCCACCTGTGCAGCTCCTGAGGATTTCCAGAGAGGTTTTCTCCCAAGGGCTGGTCAAATTGCGTGGAACAGAATATGCCATATGTGGCCAACCAAACTATTCCAGGTTGCAGCATTTACATGTGCTCTTGCCAGTTTTTACAGGGACTCAGGGTATTAAAATCCTGAAGAGAAAATTCCTTATAATGTTTTGTTGTATTCCTTTCTTACATATTTCACTTTAGTAAATCAAGACAAAACCTACCTTACAGGAAAGATCATTAAAAGGTGTTTTGTTATGGACTCAAAAAACGAATCTGGAAATGCTCAAGACAAGAACATCACAATCAATACTATTGCTTTGCATGCCCCCCTACCTTCCCCAGAGAATCTTAACACACTTGGCAAATACTTCTGAATGTAGTCACCCTCTATGCAGTACAGCAGAATTAGCCTCATTTTACAGATGGTAAATGAAAGCACAGGGAAATGAAGAGACTTTTCCAAGGTCATATGTAATGTATGGCTGGGTGAAAAACAGAACCCTGATCTGACGATGCTCAGTCCCATGCCAGCTACACATTCGTCTCCCCCTCCCGTTCTGTGTTCTGGAGTCTCATAAATGTTCCCTCAAAAACCACTAATTCATCTCGCTCTGCTCTGGACCTAGGGATTAATTTTGGGTCTGCAAATCTAAACATCTGTTGAGCTTCAAATTAAAATCGAACCTACATTTATATGCAATGGACACATAAGCTCCTGATTTTCTACACGTCACCATGCATCTGCCCAATGTACTATTATCTATATTTACCAATTTGTCAACACCTTTCATGTGTGCACTTTCAAGGTTCTGTGCTAAACAATATTAAAACAAACACTTTGTGTTACTTTGTTTCTCTCAATTCCATTTTAAAAGCTGGAATATGAGACAGTAAATTGGACCAATTTTATAAAGTGACATCTGTATTTTTTACATTTTTTTTCCCAACTTCTACCTTGAGGAGATTCAGGTTAGAATAATCTCTCTCATGACACTGATTGAATGGGATCAAGCTCTGACTCAGTTTGACTCTTGAAGGATTCAATTAATCATAAAGCCAATTCCATTTTGGCTCCATCTGTCTTTATTCCTTTGGGAACTAATAATTGCTCACTGTGTTTTCACACACTAGTTGAACTGAAATTAAGACCAATTTCAGTATTAAGCACTCAAGAAGAAAATGCATTTCTTGAAGGAAAAATTTCAGAGCCAGTATAGTTTCCAGTCTGATTCAGATAGTATTAAATAAACAGAGCTGCACCATTTTAATTCAAAATTCACAAGACTATGAAATAGCCACATACATGAATTTCTCCTTGCTATAACTCACACTCACACACCTCTAAAACCACACCGATCATCATGCAGTTTTTTTCGGAAGCAATGTGAGAAACACAACAGCGGGAAATTAAATTGTACCTAAGCGGACAACACAGGTTCCTGCTTGTTACACCGATCCCAGACCAAAAATTGGAAATGGCGCTATGAGACACGTGTCACTAACTGCTTGGGATTGGGAAGAAACGTACTCGTTAGGTATTCAACTGTACAATTTACCATTATAAGGGTTCTTATACCTTCCTCTGCAGCATCTAGTCAAAGGATACTCGAGTGGATGGGACCACTGACATGATCTGATAGGACAATTCCTGTGTGGATGTGATGGCTCTATAGTGGCCTAGGTAAAATGAGCTGGCGATCAGAGTGTTGACAAGGCTAGAGGGGGACAAGCCACTGCTGCCATGCCTGTGCATTCTGGGAGTAGGCTCCAGGGTTGACCAAAATACAAGCACACTTTAAATACTACTGAATGGAGATTTCAGATTAATAGAAGTTGGGACATTCAAAATTCAGGTTAAATTTCACCCCTAACTGAACTGTGCCAAAAAGAATATACATACAGGTAGAAACAACTGCAAAGAAAAGTGAACAAAATATAAGCATTGGTGAACAGGATTGGGTTTTTTTCAGCCACATTTTGTTTATTGCTATGGTCCATCAAACACCATCTGACTGCTATTGGAGTCCCTTACATGTCCCTGCCCCTTTATTTTCAGCACTCTCAGGAAAAGAGACTCTGGAAAGGACTGCTGTAAAAGATTATTCTGTGCCGTCCATGTTAAATTCATTAGATACTAAAACAGTGAATCTGTGAAAAATTAAATGCACTAGAGGGACAGCTAGACACTTCTGATTGAAGGCTGAGGGCTTAGATGTGAAAACGGACTCCTTTGATGACTGCCTTATGGAAAAGGTTGACGTACCCTGGAAACTTATTAAATACAGCAGAAAAGAAGAGTGGCGTATGGCATGGAAATCTGGTGAACCAAATTAGCTTTAAAATGTATTCAGATTTCATGTAGTCAGGTGTCAAGGGGCCGAGACGCGATGGGAAGTGGAGATAAGATTTCCCAGAAACAAGGAGATAACTGTGATTTAATGCGTGTGACAGAGAATTACTTACTTGCAGGTGTTCTATAGCACACCTTTTTTCTGGGCCTGGCCAGCAGAGACTCCAGTAGCTCAGCATGCTGAGTTACGGATCTTGCAGTCAGTAAAGCAAGTTGTCCCATCATGAAATGCGACGCAGCTCCTAGGGTTTCCTATTGTTTTCTTTTCAGTGAAAGCTGGATCATCTGTATCCATTTTAGTGTGTGTCTGTGTGCATCTGTCCATTGGGGGCTGCCATCCCACCAAGGCACTGCCGTCTCGCCTGCCAGCAGCACCCTGAGTAAGTAGCCCCCAAACCCCAAATCCTTCCCCCCACCCCAGCTCTTGGCACTGGAGGTAGGGGGAGAGAAAATGCTCCTGGCACGAAGGGCAGGGGAGCTGGGGAGAAAGAAAATGCCCTGGTATCCAGGCAGGGCTGGATGGAGAGAAAAGGCCCATCCCACCAAGGCACTGCCGTCTCGCCTGCCAGCAGCACCCTGAGTAAGTAGCCCCCAAACCCCAAATCCTTCCCCCCACCCCAGCTCTTGGCACTGGAGGTAGGGGGAGAGAAAATGCTCCTGGCACGAAGGGCAGGGGAGCTGGGGAGAAAGAAAATGCCCTGGTATCCAGGCAGGGCTGGATGGAGAGAAAAGGCCCATGCTGGATGGGACCCCGGGGGGGGGGGGGGAGGGGGAAAACGTGCCAGCGTGCATCCTCTGGAACAGGCATGAGTTCCAAAATATGTGGGTGTTGTGTGTCTTTCCGACCACCCAACATTGATGTACGTGAACTGGCCCTTATGGTCCACCAGGGCCTGTAGCACTATCAAAAGTACCCCTTCCTGTTGATATAGTCTGAGGCATAATGGTCTGGGGCAATGATGGAGATATGAGTGCTGTCTGTGCCCCCGCCCCCCCCCCCCACACACACACACCCTGAGCCCTTCCTCATCCCCCAACCCTCACTATCACATCCCCCTGCCCCTAGACTCCTGCACTGCCCCCCCATTCCGAAGCCTCTGCTATGATTCCTGCACCCCCACACCTCCAGCCCCCTGCCCTAAAGGACTTGGGCAACACTAGGTAAGTCTGCTAGTATGGTGTAAAAAGTGACTACGATGTGCCCCAATAATGGCCGAGGCACTGAACGTCTTGGGGATGACAGATGGGGAATGGCTGTGAGAACAATCATTTCAGGCCAGTAACTCTTTTTTCTCTGGCAGGATACAGTATAACAAATCCCACTCACAGAAATACAAAGCTCTCAGAAGCTCTCGATGGGGGAAAAAAGCAACGGCTGAAGAGACAGTACAAACGACACTACTGGAGGAAGAATTTGGTCAGAGTACACTAGGTGTCCAGGGTGCCCACCTGAAACTGGCTTTTCCTGTCAATTAGTCTCTCTGTCCTGTAGCTACCATCCTTCCGCTCACTGCTACCAGCCGACACACTGCTTACTTACCCACCTGGGCAGACTGGTTCTTTTGGGTGGTAGCCAACCCTTTGTCCATTGATGCTTCCATCTAAATAGAGGATCATCAAATTTTACTGACCCTGCTGTCCAACTATCCCTTGGAATTCTAGGCCCAAAACCAAGATAGAGTCCCCAAATCGCCATCCTACAGCAAGAGGGCAAAAGAATCGGGGCCCTGTTAGCTTCAACGTGGATTCTGAACCCTGACCTTGACATTTCTTATTTCTTCCTTACTTCTCATCAACATAAGCAGGAAACAGCCTTTGACACAATCAAAGCAAGCAACTACTTGGGGTCACGATCTTTGGGGGCCCTCATCCCAGGCAAGCTCTGCATCTAATCAGCCAGTCCCATCTCCCACTACAGCCAAGCAACAAGAGGGAGAGAATTCGTGGTCAGAGCGCCTGGCTCCTTAACCTCTGGCACCTGGCCACACAGGCAGCTCAGTCAAATCCTCAGTTCTAAAAACTTGAAACCCCACATACTGCAAGAGCTCAACACCTCACTGACAAAAACTGATTGTAACACTGAAGTTTATACAGGGTCAATCTGACTGCCAAAACTCACTGCACATACTTGCAGTACAAATGTACAAAATCAGAAGCTGTGGTCAGAAAAACAGAAGCAGAGGGAACGGTCATCTGGATCAGTAGCAAACTACAATCTTCTCTAGGCCAGCTTTGTCCATGACAGACCCTAATCAGAACTGGTACATAACTTAGGCGATGCCATGCATTCAATGCTTTTGTTGTTCTACCTCTTTCCCCCGCTCTGATCTTCTTTGCTGGTTTAGTTTACTTTTAAAACCAAGTCACTAACGCAGAATAATGATAGCCCCCTCCAGCATTTCATGCAACGTGATTAAAGGGTTGCCCAATTGCTCTTATTTGTGGAACATTTTGTACCTACTAGTTTGAAAATACAGAAAACAAGTGAAACTAAAAGTCACGGCAGGTTAGGAAAATAATGTAGGTGTTACAGAGAAAATGCTTTGAAGCCATTAGCTGAGCATAGAGGCTGTAGTAAAAAAAGAAAAACAATATCTGAGCAAATAAACATAGGCAGAGGAGACAATGAAATCTACCTTGTTGTTTCACAAAACACTGTTTATGCCTTTGCTAGACTTCCATTCAAGTTCTTTATTCTTCGAGAAGGTGATTATAACTTCAGGTAACCAGGCTGCATACATATTTTAAAGGGAAACAGCAGGAACTAGAATTCTGTAATGCACTGCACATACTACACATTTACTAAAGAAAAGAGGGAACAAATAACGAGTTTTCCATACACCACAGCGGTTCCTCCATCAGCAGCTGGGTCTCTCGGCTCTCCCACTAAATGCTGCCTTCTTTGTGATACATCGTAGGACTGTATCACACAGTTTTACCACTGGAAGGGAGGGGTGTAGGAAGTGCTGTGCAGTTCCCAGAATGCCTTCCTCAAGGACTGGTAGGTCATGAATGCAGTGGGTACAAGCTACAAAACCTGCAGATCTGGACACACAAGAGGTTCTGAGCCTACGAGAGGCTGTCTTCTCCCTCTGACTTTATTCTCCTGGTTACCTCTCCCTCCACGAAAGCAGCGTCCTAAGGAGCTATGATCCCATTAGCCACACCTCACCCACGCAGGTAGAATGGCACAGAATTCCCTGCAGGGGGTAATTCTGCATGCTGGTTGCAAGTGAGTATGTTTGGAAGGAGTGCAGAAGCATGATGCAAAACTTCTGCTCCCCCACAAATATCTGTCTCCTGTGCACATTTCAGATGACTTCTGCTCACTCTGATAAAGAATGTAGAGGGAATATCCAGGCAGTTGTACTATTTTCCCTACTGGGATATTCAGACTTATTAGGACTGAGAGAATTCAGGTCATATTAAAAGCCTTCGGAAATCATCAAAGTTGAACACTGCTGTAATGTGAATTATATGTATTCAAGGGCGGTCCGAGATGAGCTGTCGGCAACTGGCGCCCCAGGCGGAATGCGTGATTGGCACCCCCGCCTCCGAGACGAGCTACCAGCAACTGGAGCCCTAGACAGAATGCGCGATCGGTGCCCCCGCATCCAAAGCCCTCAACGGCGGTCCATCATCATTGGGCGCCCCGTTTAACACGGCCCCCTGGGCGACTGCCGAGTCTGTCTATATGCACGGGCTGCCCCTGTATGTATTTAAAATGTGGTTGTGGAAACACAATCCAAGGGTAAAAGCACCAGATGGAGGGCCAGAAGGTCCAGGTCCTATCCCATGACTTAGTGCCCTTAGGCAAGTCACTTAATCTGGGCTCATTTTTCCAGCTACAGAATGGCTTCCCAATTCCCACTCCCTACAGGTTACATTCACTGATAGTGGCGAAGTACTCTGAGATCCTTAATTTAAAAAGAGTACAGGAACACAAAGTATTATCTTCATTAAAAGGCGGATGGCTTACCTGGTTTTAAATTAATTATGAAACACAGAAATTACCTTTAACACACAGCCAAAAATATTGAAACCTTGATTTCTAGATATTTCTAAGTCTCAGTTCTCTGTCCTCCTGCATCTCATGAGATTACAAAGACAGCAGTTTGCTATTTGATTGTTAATTATTCTTTTTCATTATATTTCAAATACTTAAAAATGTTTAGGGATTTACTCTTCTGTGTAATTATATGTAATGATTAAACCAGGTTTTATACTGCACTGCAGTTTTTCCTTTAAGGTTATTTGTTATGGGGAAAGGCTAAACAGACCGAGTTCATTTTCATTACAGAAAACTTTAAGGTGAACCAATAAAATTAATTTGAAATTAAAGTGCAGTGAGGCTTGATAATTCCACACTAGTAAGGGGTTTAAACAAAAACAGGAGAGATGATCTAAAAACAAGAAAGTATGAGCAACCTGGGAATCCAGCTAGAATTAATTCATCTGAAAGGGCGGTACACACAGAAATAAATTGTCAAACAAGACCACTGAAGCAAATACGGAAAATGAATGAAGAGATAGCAAGCGGCTGAAGTGTATACAAAGAAGCTGGAGGAAGCAGGGTCAAACAAGAAAATGGATTTGAAGTAAAGGTGTAGGGACAGGGCTTGTTAGGTGACGTGAATTTATTTTCCTGACCAGAAATTCTAATGTCCTGATCAGTTAAGAATGCACCAGTTTTAATTTTTTCTCCTTTTTAATGCTTTATGCCAGACCCTAAATGTTGTTTAACAGGAGCAACTGTCAACTGGTTTCAGTGCAAAATTTGAGTATTTCAAATGCTTAAAAACTGGTAGAACCTGTTCAGTTGTCAAGGGGGAACTTTTCAGATGCAGGTGCCGACTAGCCACTTTTTTATCTCATTGAGGTTGGCTATAATAGGAAGATCACACAAGTATGGAGAACGGACATCACTGAATGATGGGCAGTGGTAAGGGACACCCCTGTTGTGAGAGAGGAAGGAATAAAGCAGTAGGATCGAGAGGGAAGATGCTCAGATATCAGGGAGAGCACAGAATACATAACCACACACAGACGACAGATTCATTAGGCCTTGAAAAAAAGGATTTTCCTGTGTTTTTTAGGAAAGTGAATATGCACATCTCTTCTGTTACTCCTCCCCTCACAGCAGCATCAGCTACTGTAACACACACTGGGGTTCTCTGTAATTTATGAATACGGGATTTTGATCCGTTTAATGGGATGTTTACTGTATTAATATGTTAGTTTAGTTTAATAAAGAGATTGTAAGATAGACAGGAAGTGAAAAAATGACTTGAGACAGATGATCTTTGTTAAACCCCTGCTCTCCCCTGGCTGCCTCCATTGCTTCTCCTGGCAACGCCTCCACTATGTCTCCTGTGAGAAGAAACCGGAGAAGGCAGCCAAGCTACCGATGCACCCCACAGCTCCTAGTTCTCTTTGTGACAGATGCAGATTTTCAGCTACCTTCAGAAGAATGTGTAAGGAAGGAAAGAAGGCACATGGAGAAGAGGAAGGAAGAAAACTTTCCAGGAAAATACTAGAATAAGGGACACCTCAGGAGAGGGAGAGAGTCCCACAAAGCTGGCAAAGAGGAAACAGGCCAAAAGAGGTTGGATGTGGGGAGCAGGCATGTTGTGCCTTCCCTAATATAAACGGATGCGTTTATTTCTAGGTATTTTGGATACTGTATTCATCTGCACTTCACATATGGAGTCAGTGTGTCCCAGGGCACAGTACTAGGAGTCAGGAGATCTGAGTTCTAATCCATGGCTCTCGCTGCCTTGCTGTTTAGCCTTAGGCCAGTCGCGTTTTATATCAGTTTGCTGGACTGTAAAATGAAGGCAATGACATTTACGTGGAGACGTAGGGAGGAAAAGCGCTATATAAATGTGCTTGGTATAATCACTCATTTCCTAAATTGCTGTGTCAAACTGATATGCACTGCTAAACAGCTGCTGCACTTCATCCCAGATGTGGCTGCATATCAGCAGTGGATGAGTATCAGCTTGCTAAGTGTGTAAAGCACTTTAGGATCCCTTGGGACAAAATATGCCCTGTGAGTTGAAGATAGTTTATTTCCCCTTTACACACTGTTTATGAAAATGCCTTTATTACAAATATTTATTTTTTTAAATGTCAAAATAAAAAAATCGGATGTAAATCGTTTAAAGATTAAGATGCTACACAAACTTTTTTGTACTTATATCTCTATCTCATGTAACACAGATGCAATTTGTCTATGGGCTTCCCTGTACTTGGTTTACACAATGAGAAATTTTACAAGCTGTAAATACTTTCAGGACATCAGAACACTTCTCTCTCTGGAAATATTTTTAGCTTAATATAGCTCCTCTTTGCCTAGAACATTAGCATTTTTGTGATATTTAGGACCCAGTGGTGTGACTCCTGATTACCTTCTGTTTATAACACACTATCACTCTGATGGCACACCAGTGTACAATCAAAAGTATGCAGGAAGCTTTTTCCACACAGTGGTTTTACTTGCCTACAACAAAATGCAAAACATATATTATATAAGTCTATATTTAAATTTTAGCAGCACTGGATAAATGTTTACATGCTTTTATGCTAATGCAATCACTAACAATCCAGATAATATTGTGTATTGGCATATATTGTTAGTGAACTATGGATACCAAATGTATGATACCACAAGCCTAACAGTTATTTTTGTTAGAGTATTTACATTTATTTGCAATCTCAGCACTTGAGAATTGTCCAAATTAACTTTACTTCTGCAAACTCCTGGAAGGAAAACATTTTGTTGAGGTTTTAAAACTGCAAGACTGTGGCAAGTTGCAACAATTACAATAAAGGTACCATTGAAAGGGAGCTAACCACACTGCACAACATATCACGCAATCACAGAAGAGGTGGCTAAGCCCAGTTTTCCAGGACATCAAAACTAACAGCTTAGACTAAAAAAAACTGGATGACATTGTGCATTCCTTCATAACGACAGCCGCTCCTCTCAGCCATACATCTTGATTTAGTTTATTTGTAGAATCAGACTTGTAAAAATACACTGTCCATCTACATACAGACCATGTGTAGCCGGAGGAATAGAGCCGAGGACCCATCTACTTCTAAAGCACAAGCCAGTAGCTCAAAGCTGCTGTGGCCAAGCCACAGGCGGGCAGTCTGTTTCTCTCACACACTTACACAGAGTTTTGAGAATATAAAAAACAACAGTCTCCAGCAGAAGATCCTAGTAAGCCGGGCAAGCTCTCTCGGTATGTCTACACTACAGCGCTAATACTAATATATAATTAGTTAATTCGAACTAAGCTAATTCAAATTAGCATATCCAGACTTAAAAACTAGTTCGAATTAGTGTTTTGCTAATTCGAACTAGCATGTCCACACTGAGTGGACCCTGAACCGAGGTTAAGGATGGCCGGAAGCAGTGCCGGCAGGGCAGCACATTAGGACTTAGAGCATGGAGCTGCTGTCTCAGGCTAGCCGAGGGCTGTGCTTAAAGGGACCCGACCCCCACCCCAGACAGACAGTTCTCAGGGGTTCCCCGCTTGCAAAGCAGTCCTGGCTTGGAGTGCCCACACTCGGCACATCACAGCACTCAGCCATCAGCCCAGCTGCACTTGCCTCAGGCTGCCATCCAGGGGGGGCTCAATCGGGGGGCTGCTGGAGAGCTTCCACCCTGAGGAGCCCGCAGAGCCACCCCAGTCCTCCCCATTGGGGGCTCATACCCCATTCCTCCCTCACCTCCTTCCACTTACCCCTCCCTAGCCCCCCTTCCTGATGTACAAAATAAAGGACACGTGTGTTCAAAAAAACTCTCTTTATTGAACAAAACTGGGGGAGACTGGGAAAAGGAGGTGGGAGAGGGGAAGAGAGAGGGTGGGAGAGGGGAGGGCAACTAAAATGATCAGGGGTTTGGAACAGGTCCCATATGAAGAGAGGCTAAAGAGACTGGGACTTCTCAGCTTAGAAAAGAGGAGACTGAGGGGGGATATGATAGAGGTCTATAAAAGCACGAGTGATGTGGAGAGGGTGCATAAAGAAAAGTTCTTTATTAGTTCCCATAATAGAAGGACTAGAGGACACCAAATGAAATGAATGGGTAGCAGGCTTCAAACTAGTAACAGAAAGTTCTTCTTCCCAAAGCAAATAGTCAACCTGTGGAACTCCTTGCTACAGGA